CTCTCTCACGTAGCCCAGCAGATGCCACCACCCATTTGAAAGAGTCTCGTACCACAACAAATCCTTCGTACTGCGTACTCCGAGAAAAATATTTTTTGTGCACCCAAATCTTTAGCTATTTTTTCCAGGGAATAGAGATAAAATAAAAGACTGCAGCGAGGAGCGAAAGCTGCTGTGTACGTCTGTGTTTACATTCGTTCGTGCACCATAAACGCACCCCCCCCCTTTTTTTTTCCTTCACCAATAAAAAAAATATAGACATTTAAAAAAATAAAAAAAATAAAAAAAAAGAATAAAACGGTCTACCTCCATCCTTTTGGCAATTTTATCGAGACGGTGCTTTCTGGAGTCTTCCTAGTGACACGATTTCTCGAACTCGAAGAAGCACGACTCGGCCACAAAGATAGCGAACGCGAGGATTACGGTAAACACGGGGAGGAAACGAGAGTTTATACAGACTGCGGCCTCTTACAACAACATGGCGATATGCGGAGCCAAACTGCAGCCACTGACCGTTCCCGTCGCTGCCTCGTCGTAAAAACGACAGGGAGGTGCATAATGCACAGTGCCAGATTTAGGACACGTTTTCATCTTTATGCCCATCGTGCGCTATCGGGGCCTGCATTAATGTTTATGGTGAGGTTCGTGGTTATTCGGCGCTCGAGTGGAGCCAGGATGGTTCCACCCCGAACGACTCCGTTATCCAAACAGTGTCATCGGTGTGCCGTCGCCGGCAAGTAGCCGTAAAAAAAAAAGAAAAAAAAAAGAAAAAAAAGGACAGCTAAAGTGAAGGGGTGCGTGGTTGGCATCGTATTGAATCGCTTAAGCCCACCATCCTTGGAGAACGAAAGATCATAAACCCAATAGACGTTTTTATTCATTCATCCATTTGCTTTTAGTTAGCGATTTTAATCGTTTCCGATATTGAGGCTTCGTAATAATGATAGTGGTAAACTCGAGCAGCAACAAGTGATCTTCAGTTGTGTGTCACAGCTTCTGATGCCGTCAAACTATTTGTCGATTATTTCAATTTTTTCTTACGAGACGTTCAACCTCCTTCTTACTGCGTTTTAGATAAAACTGTAATACAAAAATCTAATGTAATTTAGCTAAACTAAAAGAAAAAAAATCTAATGTTTTTTTTTTTTTTTTGCACTTTAGCTTAGTGAGTGGAGTGACAGTGCGCACCGCAGACCCTTGAAATCCTCGGCCTACGGTGAGCTCGATCCCCGCCCCCGTTCTTTTTAATCGGGATGATCAGCACACGTTCATCTGTTTGAATTCTTAGAAGAAATGTGTGTGACGTCATCAAAAGAACTTGGAACTCTTATACAAAAAGAGTCCGCTTACATAGCTTACAATGCACTTCGAATGTTCCTATTTGACAGTCGAGTGTGGTAAAAAGAATACAACAAAGTTCGCCGATTTGCGTTGACTGTGCGTACTGTAAAAAAAGTTGTTGATAAATATTAATTCGTTGGAAAGTGTAGGAGAGTTATTGATAGCTTGAGCATATCCTGTAAAGCCGTGTTTTCCGCAGAAAAGCTCTTTGTACATAGAAGCCAGCGTTGCGGCTACACAAAAGATGGTAACCTTCAAACAATTAAGTAAGTTCCACTTTTGAGAACGAAAGGAAAGAAAACCAACACCAACGACAAAACAAACGGTTAAGCGAGAAGGTTAGATTCTAGCAGAGCAGCGTCCCGGGCAGTCCTTAGAGTAAAATTAGGTCGTGTCTCTCTTCGTAGAGCGCCATACTATAATAACATGGCAATGCTAGATTACACGATAATATAAACATTTCACCCCAGAAGCCGTATCAGCGCTGTTAAGAGAATTTAAATAATGTAGTAGCTTTGATTTCACAAGCGCTCGTTCAACGAATGTACAGTCTCCGGCGATATGAAAGACCCACTGGGAGCGCGTGGCCAAGGCGGTGGCTGGCGGGGGCGCTGCGAGCGCTCCGGGCAGTTCCGTTCCGCCTCGAGGGGAGGACGCTCACTCGGGGCTCAGCTAAAGCGCGCGCTTATCAGTTTGTGCTGAGCCCCGAGTGAGCGTCCTCCCCTCGAAGCAGAATGGAATTGCCCGGAGCGCTTGTAGCGCCCCCGCCAGCCACTGCCTCGGCCACGCCTCCCAGTGGGTCTTTCATATCGCCGGAGACTGTACGTTTTAAGTCCGCGCGCTCGCTCTAATGTCATCCGCAGTGCCGTATATAACTCGTGACATTGTGTATGGAATACCTACAACTCTTGAAACGACTACCTCGCAAAAATGTTTTCTATTAGACCCAGTTGTAACGTTAAAACGCATCAGAAGGGGCCTATCATACAAAAAAGTTCAAACGCAGGAAATACCGTTAGTTCTGATGAGGGGCGGATACGGTGCAGTCAATTCGGTCAATAACGTTTTGTCGATGGCAGTAGATTAAAAATGCCATATCTAAACGGCAAAACAAATCTAGCAATAAAAGCATTTATGCTAGTGATCAAGTGAACAATAAGGAAATAAATCATTCGGGCTGAAACCCTTTGACATTGTTCATGCTGACAAATTATGAAAATAATCTCGGGAGAAAGGAACAAGGGGGACAAAGGGCAAACACATCCTTCTCCTGCCCGCTTGCACCTTTGCATTAATTGAATAATGATTATAACTTTGAAATGCAGGCCGTTCACCCTTGTTAGCAACTCGTGGCAGCTGATCAAACATGTTTGCTCTACCGACGTCTAACCCCCGGTTAGCTCAGTTGTTAGAGCGCTCCACTGGAAATGGAGAGGTCACTGGTTCGATACCAGGACCATGCAGACAGATTTTTTTCGGTCGGGCATCAGTCACCTAGCTGTGTTTGGAGATTTGTGTTTATTCTTTGTTCCCCTTCTCTGGGGATTATTTTCGTCACTTCTTTTGCAGCTCGCTTGCATCTTTGCATTAATTGCGTTATCATTAAAGCTTGGAAATGTAAGCGGTTCACCCTTGTTGCTGTCAGACTGGTGGCAGCTGATAAAAACCCCTTTGCTCTGCTGACGTCTAACTCCTGGTTACACCAGTTGGTAGAGCGCTCCACTGGAAAAGGAGAGGTCCCTGGTTCGATACCAGGACCAGGCGGATTTGTTCGGTCGCACACCAGTCACCTAGTTGTGTTTGGAGATTAGTTTGTCCTTTGTTACCCTTGTTCCCCTTCTCCAGGGATAATTTTCGTCATTCTTGTCCCGCTCGCTTTCACCTTTATATTAATTGCATTATCGTTCATGCTGAGTTTCACAAATGGCAAATTATTTTTAAAAATAATATTTCTTCGTGTAAACAGAATGATGCGAGCAAAAGAACACGCCTCAGTTTATCATCAGCAGCTCTAAAGACTGAAGAGAGCGACCATATAAAATGCTCGTGGACCGTGACCGGCCCGAAATAGATTTGTAGATTTTCAAGTGGCTCGCACCGCGCACAGTATTGAGGCTTTTGTTTTGTTCTCTCTGTGTTTGCGGCAACATTTATTTTTTGTTAGATTTACGGTGCTGTATAATAGCGGGTTCACGGAAGGTGTACCTACAAACCCTATTGCGATCAACACACTTTCCTAGACAAGTTCGTTTGTCACGGACACGTCCGCATAAAACGCTATTGCTCTACGGAACCACGCTTACCGAAATATGTGAACGACAAACTCAAAAGCAAGTTAAGTACCTCGCCACATTTGTGGCTAACCATACAAATAACCTTATCTGCCTAAATACCGATTGTCGGGTTTGTGAAATAACGGTGATGGTAAAAAAATTATATTAACACCAATGAAAAAAGACACATGGAGAAATGTACGCTTTCCTTTCCAACAGGTAACGACTTTTCCTTTGAATTAAAGTACTGAAACTGTAACATAACATATTTTTTTGTAATCTGCAAAAAGACGGCAAAGACAGGCGGTTTTGCGGTTAGTTTACAAAAATAGCGTAAAATGTAAAGATAGAACAAGTTGTTCTGAACTCGTAAGTGCATTTTTCACGGCCCTAGCGTAACATTCAGTTTCGTGTGCGGTTTGAATACGTGACTGCGTATGGGGGGGGGGGGGGGGAACTCCAGCTCCAACAAAACAAAAAAAAATAACAAAAAAAAGGAAGAAACAAGCAGGCTAGCATTGAAATGAAAGCGTCAAAAGTACTCGGAGAAACATAATCCGTTAAACCTTTGGAAGCCGGGGTCCACAGTGCTTATGCATCATAGAAAAGACAGTCAGCATACAGATTCGAACGCGAGTCACCGCGAGATCCGTGCTTCGAATGCTGCATGGCATGGAGTTCAAGAAGAAACTTGGCACGCGGCATTCAAACCACGAATATTGCGGTGAGTCATGTTTGCAGACTGTCTTTCGTATGCCGTATGCAGAGTGTGATCCCCGTTTAATGAGATGACATGACGATCACACGATGAGCGACGTGAGAGCTCACGTGCTATCGCGCCCAAATAACGATCTCACGTGATCGAAACATTTTTTTGTTTCTTGACGTTTATTTATAATTCACGTTATTTTTCTCTTTAGGCTCTCATATAGTGGTACCTTTGCCGCCAGCATGGTGAGGTAATGTCACGAGATAAGTCACTTATTAGTCGCAAACGTTTCCCGGTGCAAAAATACGAAGCCGGTACTGCATGTATACTTCCCGTACCGGTTTCCCTTTGGTGACACATGGGCGTAGTCAACGACTTTGTTGTCAGGCTCTGCGGAGGCTTTTTCTCCGTGCTTAAAAGCCGACGACCAGACTCGAGATTCTGCAAGGCAGAAGATCCTCCTCACCATGAGGGAGGAGGAAACAGGCAACGGTGGACAGGGTCAAAGGGGGGAGAGGAGGAAGCGGGAGAAAAGTGGAAAGCGGGAACTGGTCGTCGGTCTTTGACCGCTAAAGTCATATCTCTCCTCCGCGGTTCACAGGATGGCCTCTTTTAGACGAAAACGGTAAGCAGCAGAGAAGCTACGTTCAATGTTGCGTGCGTAGTGGACAGCCTACCTGCGAGTTCGACAGATGCGTTGCGAGAGCGCGCCTCCCCGAGGGCGTTGGTTGCCGTGCACCAGTAGAGGCCCGTGTCCTGGTCCCTGCGGCTGTGCTGGACGTGCAGGAAGAAGAGCTGTCCCTCCGGCAGCACCATGCGGGTGGCCGAGTTGCGCACGGGGCGGCCCTCGTGGAACCAGGACAGGCGAGCCGGGGGCTCTGCGTCCGCCCGGCACCGCAGCGTCACCGGCTCGTGCTTGCGCACCACCACGTCGCCCGGGTGCTCGGTGATGCGGGGAGCCCGGCCGGGCACTGCGACAAAACAAAGAAAGGAGATTCAATGCGATGAACAGATATGCAATCATTGCTTACGAAGGTTACGTATACACGTAAATAAATACAGAGAGGGCCACAATACGCGAGGAATAACACCCAAGAAAACTGCAGAATTGTGTTGGACAGATACGTAGTCTTTGGGAGGGGGAGCCATGAAATATCTCAGTAAATTATGGCTACTATACTTCGATTCAGCTTAGCTGAATCGAAGAATAGTAACCATTGCTGAATTGAAAAAATGGGGGCCTCCGGCCCCCATTCTTTCAATTGTTGACAGTGGTAAGTTCAAAACGGCGTTGATTAGTATCTTTACTTAATTTTGTTAATCATGATTTTTATAAATTTTCCCACGTGAGTTTTTCACTAGCGGCTCATTGTTCCCCCACTCCCCCTCCTTAATGCTTTATGCCCCTAGAGTAAATAAATGAAATAAAATTAAATGAAATGAAGTCCAGACGCAGCTGACGCTACGAGCTAATGAGTTAATTAGGCAGCGCCAAAAGTGCAAGTCACCAGGCCCTTTTTGTTTATGATTGGTACACTGGTCTGATTGGCCCCACCAGCTGGTAGCGTCGGCTGCGTTTAGATTTAAGGTGAAACGAAGTTTAAATAAACTACACTCAGCGTGTTTATGCTTCAATCCCCCATTCTCTTGTGAGCGCCTCCGTTTTGTTGCCTAGCGCAGACCCCAGAGCAAGCGTAATGGCGATAGCCATGATCTGAAAATGGCACTTTTCGAGCTTCAGAAACCTTGTCAGGAAGCTAGATGCGATGTCGTTGTGCTCCGTCAGGAACAGTTTTACCATTTGTGGGGGACGGAAATGAGTTTTCTGTAATTTCATATAAAACTTAAGATAACTGGCAACGATTATTTCAAGCAGCAAGCTAGCCGAACTGTGATTAATTCTTGTATAAACTATATGTATGTGGGTTATTGATATTTTATATTGCCTCGCTTCTCTCTGTGGATGAGCTCGAGTGGTAAAAACAACCAAACCAAACAAAACATCAAACATATCACTCGAACGGTATGTCGAAGTGTGCATAACTATATGCATAGGGAAGGTAACCTCCAAGCAAGACAAAACGACAGTTTGTAAAAAACAACAATTTAAAAAGTTGTGGATTGCGTTTTTTTTGTGATAGGTTGTCATTTTAGCGATCCAGCATATCTGTATAGATATATCATTGGAAATTAGCTGAGTTGTGGCTAAATTTGCAATCTCTACGAGTGATGCATAACGAAGTGTTTAGTTTGAAATTGAGGAATCAACTCTCTGTTTAATTAACAAGGAGTTTTACGCTTTCCTTTTCATTTTTTTACTTGACAGCGTTAAGTCAAGCACTGCTTATGCCTGCTTTGTCATTCAGCAAGTACAGTTTCTGAAATTCTGGGAGCTTGTTCTCGGAAAGTGTTCCTGGCTGATACGTCAAGCGATATTGTATGACGATGCAATATATTTAACCACCCCCCCCCCCCTTTAAAAAAAAAAAAAAAAACTTTTTTAGACTTTTTTTTTTCTCACAAATAAACAGAAACTAGCAAGCTAATTTTGTAATGAAATGCGCTCATCTGAAACACAAACTTAGGTGGAAAAACTTGGTATTTACCAATCTCCCGTGTGTGAAAATTGCGAAGAAAGCGCCAATGTCGTGTTTGCGCCGCTGGCTTTGTCGTCGCACACTATTCGAAAGAAGACTGGCTCAGGCCTGAGGGCTTTTGCTTGCTGTCCATAGTTTATTCTACGAGCAACCCCAGCAGTGCCAAGAAAAAAAAGAAAAGGGGGGGGGGGGGGGTGTCCGCGGCGTTTTACGTCCAACACTCGCTTACCGCAGGAGCACTCGTGGCCGCGCTTTGCACTCAAAGGGGTTACGGTTTGATGCTGCCCTTGAGTCAATCGCAATATTCCGAGTTCACTAATTTCTTCTTTCGGTCACTCCAATGACGAGGACGTGCCAAAGACTTCTTTGTCGAACGCGGTAGCAGTGCTCACGTGTACGGAAGAAGGGTCTGTTTGCTCTTTCGAAGTGGTCTGAAAGTATAAGGTGGGGCCTCATCTTAGCGTTTGCGGCGTGGATGGCTAAGAGCAGCACCCTGTGCGAGCTTCCTCTCGTCGGTCGCTGCTGCGATGAGTCGCTCGAGAGAAGAGGCACGGCGTGGAACGCAATATCCGGTGTTTCGGACCAACGGCGCGGTTTCAAGTTTTTCCGGATGTGCCTCGTCGGCAATATCGAAAACCATCAGGACTCGATAAAGATTTCTGTTCGGTGGTTGCACTTTTTTTTTCCCCCTTTATCCGCGCTTAAGTCACGTCACAAGTCCGCTTCTTCTTTGTTTTTTCGCCTTGGCATAAAAATGAAGTTTCAAACTTGTAATTGTAAGTATAAAAAAAACAGCACAGAGCAAGCGTCTCGTTTCACTAACGCACACAAAGGAGAAAATCCACGAGTTTCTAGTTGATGCTTCCTTGCATATCAATAAAATATGTTTCATACCGCGGAACGTGAATAAATGTCGGACTTGATCAAACTCTCCTCAGCTATAATTTCTCTCTCTCTCTCTCTCTCTCTCTATTTCTTACTCGTTCTCGTACTAAGAGTTCCACCAAACGAAAACAAAGCCGGGCTAAAAAAAATGATTATATTTTCTTCATCTCCCACTGCCGATTCATACAACATTCCTTTTTCTAGAAAAAAAGTCGAGGATTAAATGCCTCTATAAAAGTAACGCCAGACAGGGGGTCCAAGTTGAGTTAACCGGACGTTTCACGGAACGGTCATAAAAAGTTAGTATACGACACTGACAGATCCGAGATCTTCCCGTAGCTGATTCGTCTGCCCGGAAACCCTTACGTTTGTGTTTACGAAGCTGCGGCGAGGTTTCCGAACAGAAAAACCCTTTGGCGGCTTTTGGACGGAACGACAGCTCCGAGAGGTGGGGCTGCCTCTCTCACGCTCTTCTGGCTGCTCCATCATTTGATGGCGGTCATAGGTCCTTGGATCGATAAGATCGAGAGATAAGAGACATTCTTAATTTCGTTTGCGCGTGAAGCAAGCTTTCCAGATCCATTTCCACCGTAAAAAAAACGTATATTGAACTTCGGCCGCGTGGCATCAACCTGACAAGTCGAATTAAAACGAAAGAAACACACAAGAGGACGAAACAGACGACACAGCTGACAAGTCCCTTGCAGAAATCCTTTAAAGCGGATGTTTCAGCGTAGACTTTTATAAATTTCTAAAATAATATGTAAGTTGAGAGAAAAAAGATACAAACTGCCTGCAACGGTGGACGTCAGAGATTGCAAAACCCTAATTATCTAACTAATGGACAAACCTTTGCTGATTAACTTGTAATTAACGCTGTTTGGTAGCCACTACTAATGATAAGTTTGTGTAGCTACGAACAAAACGACCTTACATTCGTTTTTAAACGGAGAAAATAATTTTACTAAGCACTGCAACGAAAAAATCTCAATTTTTTTTTTTTTTTTTTTCGGAAAACCGGAGCATAGTGCCCGAGGAGCGAAGAAAATCTGGCTGCGTTTCCGTTTTTGTTTTTATAAAAAAAAAACTGGTCACTTTCTCACAATGCTGGGCTCAGGAGAAAATCTTTTTCTTCGTTTGAAAATTGGATATGAGGCGTTTGGTCTGTAGCTACAAATTTGCGATTAAAAAGATAACTAGTAAATTTTAGTTAACTATTAAGCCAACTAGTCTTTTTTGTGATCTCTGATATTGGCCGTGGCCGGCAACTTGTTTCCCTCTCCACCCCCTTTGCCAATTTTTTTTTTCTTTTTTGTAGTCCCAATTTTTTGTTTTAGTTTTTGAAAGTCTTTGCCAAAACACCTGGTATGTTTACTGCTGTCAATGATGTAACAATGAAGTTTCAATAAATATATCGGCTAAACTAGGATGAGGCGGGAGAAGAGTGTTATAGGTGGCAATGTACCTCAAGGGGTGAAGAGGCAAGAGGTCGAGTTTAAAGCGGAATATCGTTCATGAGGGCTCCATCAAATTGACTGGTGAATATAATCACTTTGGCTAGTGTTTTCATTTCGCTATATGAAACTGTTTTTATATGGGTGTTTTTAACGTTGTGTTTGGGACTTTTACATTTTCAAGATACAACAAAAAGGTTTTACATTTAGTAGGTATTAACCAGGACCTTGGAGGGATCCTTTTTGGGAATCAACAGCGACGTTACGCAACGGATCATAAAGCAACACCGGATAACACTGTGGGCTCATGACGTCTTGGCTTCACAAAGAAGCCCGTAGATATAATAACACTTCCTTCCTTCGCAATATGAGTCCACTTAGATCTGAAGGCGCTACGCATCCTCAGAACAAGCCAAACCGACGGAAACTTCTAATTAAAGCATGTGTGGGGGGCCGCGAGGCCCTGCCACGTTATTTAAAGTGAGGACATAGAACGAGACAAGCGAACGACGTGTCTGCCTGTGATGGCGGCTTCAGAGCATTCTCTTTTATTTTGATGAGAAGAATGGGTCTGTGGGTGAATTGCAGCCTACAGATATGCCCCCCTTAGCGAGGAGCCCCAACGAGCGATTAAATAAAACAAAAAGAAAAACGACAACACACAATTAGGGTGCTAGCTGTGGTGATGAGTTTGTCCAGTGGACTTGAGCAGACTTCCTGCGAGACTTCGGACTTTCTTCGCGCGTCTCACATGTGATGAGGTTCACGGGTGCGTGGCGGTTTGGCGCACGAACACATGCGTTGCACTGTACAAGTCTTGAGAGACGTAAGGAGTCTTCCCAGACACCGCGCGTGCGGGAACTGGTCGTAGGTCTGCAAAAGCCTCCTTCAGCTTTGTGGCGTAGTCTTCTGGCCTCGTGTTTGGAGACGGGTCGACCTCAAAAAAGTCTGATGGTAATCGGAGGGTCGTCCCATAGACGAGTTCAGATGTTGCACAGCCGAGGTCCTGCTTTAACGCCGTTCGAAATCCGAGTA